TGATGAGAAGGAATCATTAATTGGCTGCCTCCTGCACGTTGGACCGAGCCTGCAACCCAGGCATGTGCCCTTGACCAGAATCGAACCTGGGGCCCTTCGGTCCACAGGCCGATGCTCTATCCACTGAGCCAAACCAGGCAGGGCGGATGCTTTGTATTTTTTAATACTTAAACTTTTCTCAGGTAGTTTAATACCCTGTGTGTAGGTAAATTATCTGTGTGTAGGTAAATTATTTGTTATTACTAGTAAAGCACTGTCCTGCTGTAAGCAGGTATGTGATTAAATTCTCCCTGCAGCTTTGTCACCTCTCAGCCTTCCTAGAATTTAAGAGGGTTAAGGCCTTGCTTTGGGTTAGGTTTTGGCTTAAGGAAATGTGGCTGGTTTGATCCAGCCCAGCCGTGGGCAAACTACGGCCCGCGGGCCGGATCCGGCCCGTTTGAAATGAATAAAACTAAAAAAAAAAAAAGACCGTACCCTTTTATGTAATGATGTTTACTTTGAATTTATATTAGTTCACACAAACACTCCATCCATGCTTTTGTTCCGGCCCTCCGGTCCAGTTTAAGAACCCATTGTGGCCCTCGAGTCAAAAAGTTTGCCCACCCCTGATCTAGCCAGATCACTAAACTTTTTCCATATTAGCAATAAGGCTGTTACACTTTCTTATTATTTGTGTGTTCACTGGAGTAGCAACCTTAATTTAAAACTTTTCTTTTGCATTCACAACTTGGCTAGCTGACGCAAGAGGCCTAGCTTCTGGCCTATGTCAGCTTTCAATGTTCTTCACTAAGCTTACTCATTTCTTGCTTTTAAGTGAGAGATGTGTGACTCTTCCTCGAGGCCATTATGGGATTATTAATTGGCCCAATTTAATTATTGTTGTGTCTCAGGAAATAGGCCCAAAGAGAAGGAGAGAGATGGGGGAAGGGCTGATTGGTGGAGCAGTCACACATAGCATTTATTGGTTAAGTTTGCTATCTTATATGGGTGTGGTTTGTGGTTTCCAGAACAATTACCGTGGTAATATCAGAGATCACTAATCACAGATCACCATAACAAATATAATAATAATGAAAAAGTTTGAAATACTGTGAGAAGTACCAAAATGTGACACAAAGACAAGGAATGAGCAAATGCTGTTGGAAAAATGGTGCTGATAGACTTGCTTGACCAGGGTTGCCACAAACCTTCAATTAGTAAAAAAACAGTACGGCAAAGTGCAATAAAGGAAAGCACAATAAAATAACGTGTGCCTTTTTTTTTTTTTTTTTTGGTATGGTGACTTGTATGTATGTGTGTATATTATGTACATTATATCATTTTGTGAACTATTTTGAAAATGTTTTCTTCATTAATGGCGTAGTATGAACATTTTCCCATATGATAAGTCATTTTTCAAAAAATTCTGATCCAAGGTTATGTTTCCATTGATTTTTAGAGAGAGAGGAAGGAGGGAAAAGGGGGAGAGAGAAGGAGAAACATCAACCATTTGCCTCCTATACTCGCTCTGACTGGGGACCAAACCTGCAACCTAGGTATGTGTCCTGACCGGAAACTGAACCCGCAACATTATTTGGTGTACAGGACAACGCTCTAACTAACTGAGCCACCCGGCCAGGGCTGATAAGTCATTTTGAGTGACTGAAACATCATTCCTTGTACAGATGTACATTTAACTGTTCCTCTGCATTAGACATTAAGGTTACTTCGAATTTTTTTACCATCAATAATACTGTACATAACTTTGTACTTAATTTTTTTCCTTTTATGGTATATTTATTCTTTTTAAAAGAATTCTTTATTGTTCAAAGTATTACATATGAATCCTTTTTCTCCCATGACCTCTCCCCGCTCATTCCCACCCCCCCAGCACATGCCCTCACCCAGATAGATTCCTAAAAATTATTAATTATTAAGTCAAAAGGAATGAACATTCTTAAAACTTGATACATATTATCAAACTACTTTTGGGAAAGGTAATTTTGATTTACATCCTCATTAGAAATTCCAATTTGCATCTTCTCTAGCAAAGTATGCCTTACTGTATGTATTAGCTTGAGATATTTCTTTTACCTTTGCTACTTTCAATACAGGAACAGATATTCTTCTAATAGAAATATGGATAATTAAGAAATCAAGTGGTAGAATTTCTTGTAGACTTTATTTTAACCTGTATTCAGTAAATACTAGTTGAATCTTAATACATAAGTAATAAATGGTCTGTAAGTGACTATGCTGTCTGTTTTAAAAATGTGATAATTCTTTCTCTTACTTAGTTTAAGAAGCAAATTATCGAAAGTTTAAATAAGAGCCCCAATCTGGATCACTTGCTGTCCATTAAAAAGACACTGAAAAACTTAAAAGCTCGACTGAGATGGAAATTGGTTGAAAAGAATAATTTGGAAGAAGTAAGCAAATAGTTGGTTGTCACTGAACTCTTTGTGTGCCTCATTTTACTTGGGCTCTGCTTTATAAAAGTCATGCATAAGTGTTCTCTTTAAATAGAATAATTACTTACATTTTGTTTTATATATTTTATCTTTCCCCCTCTGTGTATGTAAATAAAATTATTACATTAATAGTGTAAACATTTTTCCATGTCACTAAATGCTTTTTGAAAACAGTTTACATGGCTGCCTTGGTTTTCAGTAACATAAGTATTTTTGAATAATTTGAAAACTCTTTGGTTTGGACTGTTATATAATGTCTATTACAATACAAGCCTACTACATGCAAGGCGATGGGTGTTCCCCAAAGGTAGAATTTTGTTATAAACTATTTTTCAGATCTTCTGTTTACTTCTTTTTAATAGCTGTACATATTGTTTCTTGGAAATATTTTAAGTTGTTTTTATATGATAATAGAACTAGAAGAATTAGGATATTCTAATCTTCATTAACTTTCTTCCTTAGGTTTAAAACTTTGTGAAATTTTGGGAATTCTTAGTTTTCCCTTGAGAATTTGATTTACGTATAAAAAGAGATTTATATTATGTCTTAATCCAATTTGAATGAGCTCTGTTTCTCTTTGGACCACTTCAGTGGAATATAACGGTTTAAGATTTTTCCAGTTTTATTGTATTCTGGGCTGTGGGGAATGGTCTCTTTTTTAGTTTAATTTTTTTAACTTTTGGAGAAATATATCTAACTTTGAAAATGTGCCATTTAAGACGGCTTATTATCACTGGAGTCTTTCCTCTAGTAGACATGCCACACATTTACTCATTTAAAAAAACACACCCAAATCTCATGTAGAAAACAATTCCAGGGCATTTAATTGTATTCTGGTTCTTATTCTTGACACTTTCTGATGGCAGTCGGTCATCTTTATTGTAGATAAATTCTTCAGCAGATTTTAAGAGGTGAGAAAAAAAATCTGCGTAATTGACTTTGTCTTTATTTTTTATAATTCCTTTTCATAGGTTTTAGAAAATTAGTGTTAGAATATTAATTCGCAAGTGCTATTATGTGCTAGGTACAGAAGGATAAATAGAAATCAGATGGAGTGATTTGCTTAGAAGTTGTAAATAATTCTTACTAGGAAGACTTATTTTCAGTCTACTTTAACAAGCCTGTAAGGTCACTTTTGTTTCTTTCTGATTAAAGTCTGATGACCATGATGGATCTGAAATTGAGAAAATAAAACAAGAAATAACTCAGTTACGTAATAGTGTCTTTCAGGAAATTTATCGTGAGCGAGAGGAATATGTAAGTATAAAGTTTTGAATTAGTTTGTACTAGAAATTGAATTAATATATCCATTTTATGAAGTGGACTATAATAACAAGTATAGAGATTATATTGGTATAGTTATGTGTTGGCATAATGATGTTTATGTGAATTTAGATATTAATTTCTGATGACAAAATAATTTATTACCATTGTACCAAATGTGAAAATTACACAAAATTATAAAGAAGAAAAAACATCACCGTAATTTTCCTACTTGTGGTAATAATAGTGATCATTGTTAATTTTTGATGTTAACTTTCCTTTCATCTTTTTTTGCTTATTTTTACAAGAATTGAGATGATAGCTTAAACACAATTTGCACACTGCTTATATTCTTAACAGAAAGCCTGAAGATTTTTTTCTTTATTAAAATCCATATGAACATCATTTTGGTATAATACTGCAATGACAGCATTAATAGGGCAGCATAAATTAGTTGAAGACTATAACAAAATAAAACTACCTGGTTTTGGGGTGGAGGAGATGTTGCATCTTTAAGTCTCTAATCTACCACTAATTTTTGTGAGAGTCAGTCAGCGTATTTTCTCTTTAAAATGCAAAGAGTATTGTATTTTATGTATTAGGAATGTTATGTGAACTAAGTTAAGAACATTGCTTTGAAAAATAAAAACATTGTGAAATAATAGACATTTTAAGGTTATATTTCATTTAGCAAACTCACATGACTGTGTACTTTAGTAGTCACCTGGAATAAAATAGCTATCTCCCAGCGACTTGGTAAGTGTATAGAAGTTTCACTTAATGAACATGTGATAAACAACTTTTCTAAGAATCCTCAATTTTCACATTTGCTTCAAGTGGCTTTTGTAGAGCTACATATTTTTTAAATATATTTTATTGATTTTTTACAGAGAGGAAGGGAGAGGGATAGTTAGAAACATCGATGAGAGAGAAACATCAATCAGCTGCCTCCTGCACACTCCCTACTGGGGATGTGCCCGCAACCAAGGTACATGCCCTTGACCGGAATCGAACCTGGGACCCTTGAGTCTGCAGGCTGACGCTCTATCCACTGAGCCAAACCGGTTAGGACTACATATTTTTTTCAAGGCTTTTTATGTGTGTTTCCTCCTAAATGACATAGCTATTATTTTAAACATATCACTGTGTTCTTATTTTTTTTTGAGAAATAATGACAATTTCATAATTCAAATTGGTGTATTATCACACTTTTTCATTTTAGCTTGGAAGTGAGTGCAGAGCTTGACCTTAGGCAACGTTCTGTGTCTATATATGTATACCAAACCTAAAATTGGTAATTAAGTTTTTCTTCTCTTAGTAAAGATGGTATTTTAGATCTAAGATGATTCTTGGCTTTCATTTACTATTTTTTAATTATTTTATTGCTTTAAGTATTACAAAGAGTATTATATATGTCTCCTTTTTTTTTTCTTCCCTTGACCCTCACCTAGCCTCCCATGCCTCCCAGTGTCTTGTGTCCATTGGTTATGCTCGTATGCATGCATACAAGTCCTTCGGTTGATCTCTTACCCCCGCCCCCCCCCCCCCCCG